CCGCCCTCCCGCGCTCCGATGCCGCGCTCCGCGGGCGCGGGCGGCGGCGCGGGCGGCGGCGCGGGCGGCGGCGCGGGCGGCGGCGCGGGCGGCGGCGCGGGCGGCGGCGCGGGCGGCGGCACGGGCGGCAGCGCGAGTGGCGGCGCGCAGCAGAGGTGGCCGTCGTCGCAGCTGATGTCGCAGGCGTCTCCTCCAGCGCTGCCCAGCGCGGAGCTGCCCGAGCTTCCCGGCCTCGGCCCCGGCCTCGCTTTCGACCTCGGCCCCGGCCTCAGCCCCGGCGGGGGCGGCGCGTGCGGCGGCGGCGCCGGCGGCGGCGGCACGGGGCAGCACGGCTCGGGGCAGTACAGCACGCCGCTGCAGACGGCAGGCTGCTCCGCGGAGCCTCCGCCCTTCCCCGACGGGTCGCTTGCGGGCGCGTCGCGGCCGCGAGCCGACTCGGACTCGCTGATGCTCGACTTGGGCGAGATGCTCCAGTTCTTCCTCCGCTCAAAGTGGAGGACCGCCGCCACCGTCTGCCAGGCGCGGCGCTTTCCGAGACACTTCAGAGACACTTCAGAGACAGCTCCGAGACACTTCAGAGACAGCTCCGAGGCACCTCCGAGGCACCTCCGAGGCACCTCCGAGGCACCTCCGAGGCGCCTCCGAAACACTTTCCGAGGCGCTCCGGAGGGCGCGACACCAGGAACATCTGAAACGCGATACCGCCCAGTTGCCTCGCTCTTCCTCTCACCCCTCCACCTGCCAATTCTCCTCCCCGCTGCCCTTCACCCCTCCGCCCGCCTCTCTCCTCCCCGCTGCCCCTCTCGCTCCTCCCAGCCGCCACCGCCTGTGCCGGCAGGCCGCCTTCAAGCTGCGCAACAAGGAGGCGGCCCCCAACGACGACGACGAGTCTGAGCCGCCGACGCCGCGGTCTGCCGCATCGGACGAGACCGAGGCGGCGGAGGCGACGGCGGAGGCGACGGCGGAGGCGGAGGCGGAGGCGAAGGCGGTGGCGATGCCCGAGGCGGAGGTGGCGGAGGCGAAGGCGGAGGAGAAGGCTGCACGCACGACGGCGGCGGCGGCGGTGGCGGCGGGCGCGGCGGCGGGCGGTGGGGCGAAGGAGGGCGGCGGGGCGAAGGAGGGCGGCGGGGGCTTGTTGGCGGCGCCGCTCGGGGAGGAGGAGCTGGACATGATGCTGGACACGGAGGACGTGCTGCGGCTGCTGCGCGGGTGTGACTCCAAGTGGAGGACCGTGCGCGGCGGCGCCGTCCGCTTCTGCGCGGCGCTGCTCGGCAAGGTGCGGATCGACTCGTAGGCGGCTGGGACGGGGGGGCGGGGGGGACGGGGGGGCGGGGGGGACGGGGGGGAGGCAACACGCTCGCTCTCTCAGACACTCTGCCTCTCTCCCCCCACCGGGGCTTGCATGACCTTGGGGAGCATGTGTCCATTTCCGGCACTCGGTGTATGTGTTGTCTCAGACTCAGTGCGGGCGCTTCTCAATCTCCATTGTGCATTGAGCATTGTTCAACTTCATGTTCCTTCAGCAGAGCACTCGCTAACCATATTGCTTCACAAGGGGCTATGCTCTAAGTTTTTTCATCTTGGCATGCGACGACGCACTCGCCCCTAGCCCCTCAATCGGCCGAGTTGATGCTTGATCGGCGCCGACAGACAGTGGAGGTCTAAGCCGAACCCGCCGGGCCGCTGGCGGGGTGACGGTCTAGACCACCACTGCAGACAGCCCTTCCCGACGGGGACGCCATCACCCTCGCCCAGGGATCTACAACGCTGTCTCAAGGTCCGACCTGTGGGCTCTGAGGCATGCCTGCGCTCGGCACTGTGGGCACCGCCTCGGTATACAAAATTGACAAAATGCGCCTGCGGGCGGACCCTCACAGATCACAGATCACTTATCAGAGGGTCAGCCACGTTCTGCCCGTGGGCGGTGAGCACACACCCTGCACTGCATCACACTCACACCACGCCCTCACACATCACAGCCGTCTCTTGCCCAATCACACTCACACCACTCGCTCACATCACCCATCTCTTGCCCACACGTGAGCACCCTCCTCCCGCTGCATGCTATCCTCCTTGCCTCGTCCTTGCGCCACCTCACTCTCGCCAAGCTTCATTCTGCTCACAGCACACGAGCGCACTGACGCGCCATGGATGCACTGACACACGCCACACATGTATGTACATGTGCGCTGACAGAGCTTCCTTACCTTGGACGGGCCGCCGCCGCAGGCCGGTCCTATAGTTAATAAAGGTTGCCTGTTCATACTCCTCGACCGCAGGTTTCATTTATTTATTTATTTCCTCGACCGCAGGCCGGTCCTGCCGCCTCCGGCCTTCCATCAAGAGCGGGCTCGTCTTCAAGGGCGCGAGATGTAGCCGAGATCAGCCGAGATGCAGCCCGAGGTCTAGCCGAGATCTAGCCGAGGTCTAGCAGAGATCTAGCCGAGAGAGACTAGCCGAGATCATAGCGAGATCTCGCCAGATTGGAGGGGCTCTAGTACACACGCGTCTGAGTGCCCCCCCCCCCACCGCCCGCCCGCCCGCCGCGATGGCTCGCCCGTGAGAACGTGCGCCTCCTCTCTGGCATATAACGGTGTGGATAACACGGTCTGTGAACCGTTCACACAGGTGCCTCGCCTACCGCGCGATGAATTGGGGCCGGATGGAGGGGTGAGCCCTGCCTGCGCGTCGCGCCTGCACTGTGAGAATTCACCATCTGAGCCGGCAGAGAGTCGTGAGAGAGAGGGAGAGAGAGGTGAGCAGTACAAGGCCTGTCAAGATTCACCTTCATGAGTTGCGAGAGTTCGGCCATCGATGTACTCGATGGTGACGTCGAGTCGGCCACACGGGCACACCGTTGCCCTTCATCACAAGCATCCCATTGAGCTTTTCTACGAGATTGTCTTGCAAGCAAATACTTGGCAACTTGGTTGTGATGGATCACGAGTTTCTCCTACCTTGCCCAACCCCCACCACCTCGTGTGTGTGCAGAAGTTTACCTCACCTTACCTTACCTTAGTCCTTACACGAGTTTCTCTGACATCTGAGTCAGTCTGCTCTTGGTACACCGCTTGGTTTTGGAGGTTCACGAAGACGCTGTTATAAAATGAACTCGGGCGCACGGGACGCGGCACAAACGGGGCACAAACGCCAGGCTACAAAGACGGGGAGGCACGTAGTGACGCAGGGGAGTCTAAAGCCGTAGGCGACGGCGGCGTCCTCCGACGCCACGGCGAGCCTGAGCTCGGTCGCAATCTCTTCCGCCGCCGCGAGCTGCAGCGCGACTGACATGCGCTGGGCCTGCAGCGACAGCCACGACCGCGTCGACCAGCTCGCCTCGTCCTCGTGCTGCCGCTTCGAGAGCTTGTTGCGCACTTGTCCTTCATCTGGTAGAACAGCCGTTTGACCGCGTTGCACCACCCGCCGAAGGTTTCGAACAGGTACATCTGCACGTCGGTGTCCGAGCGCGAGAGGGCGTGCGCGTAGTCCGCCTTCTTGTACGCCACATAGCCGCCGCCGTCGCTCGGCCTGAAGTCGCCGTCCCCGACAGCGCCGCGCTGCTCGAGGCCGAAGACGTCCGCGCTCGTGCCGGGCTCGGTGTTGCCGAGGCCGACGAAAGCGCCTCGCTGGCGGACGTCCTCCGGGTTGGAGGAGAGCGGGTCCTTGAACTTGACGTCGCCGACGAGGCGTGAGCGCGAGCGTCCGGCGCCCGCCACCGAGACGTCGGGCCGGTAGTCGTTAGAGTAGCCGAGGTGGTCCCGCGGCTCCACCTCGACGAGCATGGATGCCCCACACGCTCCGCATGACCTTGGCCAGGGCGGCGAGGAGGCTGTTATGGCGGCCGCAGTGCCCGAGGCGGCCGATGTTGCTGGCCGCGTCGCCCAGTGGGTCCTGCACCTTGCCGCCGCGCGCCGAGCAGGTCGGGGCGCCCCGCGCGAGCGCCTCGTCGAGTGGTAGCCCGAGGCGCCGCTGCCCGCTGGACGGCGATGCGCACAGCGCCCACGTCGGGATACGAAAGGGTCGCGGCGTGAGGGGACGGTGTTGAGGAAGGCGCCCGCCTGGTACTGGCTGACGGCGATGAAGCGCACCGCCTCCCGCCTAGCCACGCCCGGTAGCTGCAACGCATTCCAAAAAAGCCGAGCCATGCTGCATGATGAATGATCTGGGAGTAGCGACGCTGTGCGCTTTGTAGATGCTCACTGCCAGAATCGAAGCAGGCCAACGGGAGGAGTGTGTCGCGGTCGGGGAGGCCGTCGGGGTGAAATCGGAAGTGTGCGAGGCCCTCCTTGCAGTAGTCGAAGACCTGGCGGTCGTACTGCTCGTAGGTCCTCGCCACGTAGTCGTAGTCATCGAGGAGGGTGCTGTGTGCGTCCTGCAGCTCGGTGAAGATGGAGAGCTGCTGGAAGTCAGCCGCCGACTCGGCCGTGATGTCGACGGCTCGGAAAGGCGCGTGGAGCTGCCGAAGCGGCGTCCACACGAGCGCCCAGGTGCCGACCCACGCGGCTCGCCGGCATGGTGCGCAGGAAGTAGACGAGGGTGGTGTTGGAGCAGTAGCGCATGAGGCAGTGCTGCGCCTGCTGCGCGATGTCGAGGCTGGGCGCGTCGCGCAGCTGGATGATGCCGTCGAGCGGCTCGAGGGCGATGCGCACCCGCTTGACCAGCTGCGCCGAGCACCAGCCGACGTCGCCGAGAAAGGCGCCCAGCACCTTGATCCCGAGCAGCGTGCCGCCGCCAGCGCGCTCGTGCCCCTTCGTCGGCGGCGCGTTCGGCGTGCCGCGCAGCGCGACGCGCGAGGAGAGCGGGGTGATAGTAGTCACTTCCCTATCTATACGGTGTGCGATGAAACCTTGTACAGCTCCTATTAACTATATGGTCGTCAGAAGACAGAAGGAGAAGTCAGCAGAAGCGCGCGTGTCATTTTAATTTCATCCACATATGCCAATTTCCCAAGCTGTGGGGCGTTCATTTTTTTGGAAGTGTCGTGTACAAACTAGTTAAGTACAGTACAGTAGTAAATTCGACTTTCATCTCGCCGCCGCCGCCGAGAGGCGGGTCAGCACTCGACTCCTCGGACCCCATACTTTTTCACTTGGCGCTCCCAGACCGCGGGCGGCGGAGCGGACAGACGTTCTTGTGGTTCTTCCAGCTCGCTTTCTGGCACTGCTTCGAGCAGACCCAGGTCCCAGGCAGCTTGCACTCGCATCTCTGGTGGGCCTCCTCCCCGCAGACCACGCACAGATGCGAAGGGCGGATGTCTTCTTCCTCGATGGCGGCAACATTGGCCACGCGCACTCTCGTCGTTTCGCCTTTCACGTCGTCGTTAAACAGCTCGTCCTTCACGTTGGGAACTAAGATGCCGATCTTCGACCGGCGATCGGAGCCGAACACGTGCGTGATCTTTGCGAGCCTCCCGTTGAGCTCGGGACGGTCCGAGAGGCCCACGAGCTTGACGGCTGCGCCGACTTCTAGCCGGAGGGTGCCCGGGGTGATGTGGAGCGCGTCGAGGAGTCGAGCAGCGGCCTCGTCGCTACGAGGATCCGAGCTCGTGAGCCCCCGAGAGCGCGCCATGGAGACGCGCGACTCAGATGCCGGCCAGCGAGCAGTGCATTGCGCCGTAGTCAGCTTGGCGAGGTCTTGCATGTAGGATGTCGCAAACATCGCGCCAACGTCGCAGGCGCCGTGCGGGCCCATCACAATGATGGCATTTTCCGTTGGCGTGCGGTACTCCTTTGGACAAGTCGCATGCGCCAGCGCCTTCTGTGCCATGGCCTGCGCAACGATGGAGCTTTGCACCGAAGCACGAATTTTCGCCTGAACTTGGAGGCCGACGTTATATTCGCCTCCGGTCGTGTTCCACACGCCCGTGTACGCAGCGTAGACCGGCCCGGTCGACTGCCCTTCGGCGATGCGTGGGCATCCGATTAGCACCTTCTCGATGCCAGGTTCGAACGATGTCAGCACCTGCGACTGCGGTGTGGGGCCCGACACGAGACGAACGATGTCTGCGGTGAGGCCTGCCCGAGTCGCTTCATCGGCGAATATAACATCGACGTATCGCAGCACGTCAAGCTCCGCCAGCGTGCACTCGGGGAGCGTCGCCAGGGTGCCGGTGTCGGTGCTCATCGTCCCTGCGTGCGGCGCAAGTCGCCAACAAGACGCTGTACTCGTGCTTTGAGTGCATTAGTGAGAAAAAAAGTCTGTTTCTCGCGATTTCTACCGGCCTCGCCGCCGCCACGCCAGCGGACGGTCGTCGTCAGTGATGTTAGCTACGCCACCGTCTACCTCGTGCGCAATGCGCTCGCCGGCATCGAGCGAGCAACGTGTTCGACCGAGCGGCTTGCTGTGCGGACGGCTTCTTGTGGCTCTCGTCGAGAGCGTTTTGCGGCCCGGCGGGTGGGAGAGCATGTGTCGTCTGATGTGTCACTGTGTACGTCATATCAGTCTTGATAACAAGTACGGTCGATCCGTCAAAGCGATACACTCGTCACGATCACGTTGGACGGCTTGCACAGAGCTCTGTGCCGGCACGCATCAGGAAGACCGCCGTACGGCAAGAAGAGCTCGATGGGGAGCGAGAACCGTCAGAGGTGCTCACGGAGGTTTCGGAAGTCCGCCATGATGCGGTCAGTTCCCCCCAGGTTTGACTGCGTAGGTCGCGGAACTCGTTGAGTACTCGCAGCCTTTCTGCGCCTCCGTCTGGGCATATCAGCTGCTCGGCAAGAGCAGTCTTTCCGGAAGATATCGACGGTTTTCGAGAGCCACCCGCTTGGGAGCGATTGAGCGCGTCACGGAGGACTTCAGGTTACCCTTGAAGCTCCTCTGACGGTTCTCGCTCCCCATCGAGCTCTTCTTGCCGTACGGCTCGGTTCCTGTTGCTGGCACAGAGCTCCCGTGCCAGCCGTCCAACGTGATAGGAACGAGTGTATCGCTTCGACGGATCGACCGTGCTTATTATCAAGACCGATGTGACGTACACAGTGACACATCAGACGACACATATTCTCCCACCCGCCGGGTCGCAAAACGCTCTCGACGAGAGCCACAAGAAGGCGTCCACACAGCAAGCCGCTCGTCGGACAGGCGTGCTCGCTTGATGTCGGCGAGCGCATTGCGCACGCTTTGAACGGTGGCGAAGCCAAAAACACCGATGGTGGCCGTCCGCCGGCGTATGCGGCGGCGATCGGTCCCTAACCTGTCGCCCGCGGTCCCTAACCCAAAAGTGGTCGGATTCATCTACTTACAGCGGCGCGGACGCGGAGGAGGCGGTGGCAGGAGGGGGCTCTGGGGCGGCGGAGGCGAGCGCGGCGGCCGCGGCCGAGGAGGACAAGCGCGTCCGGGCGCTGAGGATTGCCCTGCAGCACAAGACGCAGATGCCCGTGACGGACGAGGAGGCCCGGGCTATCCTCCAGGCGCGAGGGGGTCGCGAGACGCCCGTGACGGAGGAGGAGGCGCGGGTCATCTTTCGGGCGCGGGGGGACGCCGGGCGCGGCAGGGCTACCTTTCAGGCGCGGGCGCGCGGGCGCGGCGGGCGCGCCGCGGCATCGCCGGCGCTGGCGAGCAAGGGCGGCGAGGAGCTATCGCGGCGTGGGAAGAAGGCGGTGGCGAAGGAGGCGGGCGAGGCGGTATCACGCGAGGAAGGCGAGGCGATTTATCGCGCGACGCTCGAGTCGCTGTTGGCGTCCACCGGGTGGACGCCGCGCGCCGCGGAGGAGAGGGCGCGCGAGGAGCAGCGTGCGCATGTTCGGCAGATGCGCTGGGCAAGGGAGCACGGCCGGGGGGAGCCGGTCCGGTGCTTTGACGCGGAGGAGTACGACGAAGGCGACGACGCTTTCGACGCGCTCTTCGACGGGGGCTCGGGGTACGGGTGGGATTCCCCCTCGGGGGGCGGCGCTTTCTTCTAGGCGCCCGCCTTGACCCAACATAGAGGGCGTTGTGTAGCCTAGCTTTTGGGTAATATAAAAGTGGTCCTTCGCGCTTTGGTCCCTAACCAAAAAAGCACGATTCTGAAGTTGGGCCCTCGACCTCCTCGTGCGCGCCTTCTCTCGCTGCGATCCCATCGACATCGCTCGCGCCGCGGCCGTCTCGCTTGTCTTCCACGCCTCACTCGCGGAGGAGGGCATCCGCTTGCGCCTGCAAGAGGCCAGCTACGAGCCGCCGGCACAGCCAGAAGGCGAGAGCTGCGCCGTGCGGTGGCTGTGCGTCTATGCGACCGTTGCGTCTTCGACATTGGTAGGAGAGGCAAAAAAAGAAGAAAACCCCCACGCTCCTGCTGGTCGCCGCCAGCAACGGTCACAAGCAGCTGGTCGAAGTTCTGCTGAAGCGGGGCGCGAAGCTGGCCGCGCAAAACAGCTACGGTGTCACCGCGCTGATGTCCGCCGCCCTCAACGGCCATGTGCAGGTGGTCGAGACGCTGCTGCGGCACGGGGCGGAGATCAACCTAACAGCGGCTCGCCGCCAACCAAGGCCGCGAGCAAGTGGTCGAGCTGCTTCTTCAGCACGGGGCAGAGGTCGACCTTCAGGACGGCGACGGCGACGCTGCGCTCACGAGCGCCGCCATCGAAGGCCATCCTGCCGTCGTGCTCCAACTTCTGCGGGCGGGCGCAGACATGGCGCTGCGCACTGCGGACGGCAAGACGGCGATGCAGATCGCCAAGGAGAAGGGCCACACCGAGTGCGTCGCGGCTGTCAAGACGTTTCTCGGCGAGGTGGCGGTGGGGAGGCGCGACGCGGCGGCGGTCGAGGCGGGCGGCGCGGGGGCAGGCAGCGCTTCGGGCGGCAGCAGCGGGCCTGTTCCCGAGGAGATCGGCGCGGCGGGCGGCGCAGGGGCGGACGGCGATGCCGCCTCGGGCAAGGGGGCGGCGGCGGCACCAACTGCCGCGTCCTCTTCCGGCGGCGTGGAGAGCGGAACGGGCGAGGACGCCGTCCCCGAGGAGGTCGTGGAGGCGGCTGTGCAAGGCGACGAGGCTGTGCTGGCGTGGCTCGACGGCGGCGGGCGGGTGGACGCGACTTTCACTCGTGAGGGTGTGAGCGGCATTACACTGCTGATGGCTGCCGCCGCCTACGGCCACGAGCGGCTGGCCGCGACGCTGCTGCAGCGTGGCGCTTCGATCAACCTGCAGGACAGCAAAGGCGGCACCGCGCTGCTGTACGCCGCCCGACAAGGCTACGAGCGGGTGACCGAGCTGCTGCTGCAGCATGGCGGGGAGATCAACCTGCAGAACAGCGAAGGCAGCGCCGCGCTGATGTTCGCCGCCCTCAACGGCAACGAGCGGCTGGCCGAGCTGCTGCTGCAGCACGGCGCGGATATCAACCAGCAGGACAATGCCGGCCTCACTGCGTTGATCATCGCCACCTACCAGAACGACCCCGCCGCTCTCCACTGCCTGCTGCGGGCGGGCGCCGACACGGAGCTGCGCACGGAGGCTGGATTCACGGCGCTGCAGGTTGCCAAGGAGGAGGGCAGCGCCGAGTGTGTGCGCGCCCTCGAGGAGCATGCGGCGGCCAAGGCGGCGGCCGAGAAGGCGGCGAAGGAGGCGACGAAGGAGGCGGCGGAGAGGGCGGCGGAGCGGGCGGCGGCGGAGGCGGAGGCGGCGCGGCACGCCGAGGAGCTGCTGGCGGAGGTCGAGGCGGAGAAGCGCGGCAAGGGCAAGAAGGGGAAGAAGAAGAAGAAGGGCGCCGGGAGTGGCGGCGCTGGGCCGTCGCAGGATCCCGAGGCGCCGTCAGAGGCAGCCGCAGCCAAGCCCGCGAAGCTGGAAAGGGAGGGGTTGATCAGGCTTCTCGAGACGCTGCACGAGGAGCGGATTCGGTACGGCATCACGGCGGAGACGTCGGTCGAGGGGCTGGCCGAGGCGTTGGGAGAGGAGGCCGAGGCGGCAGGCGAAGCGAGTGAGGAGGAGACGGCAGAGGCGGGTGAGGAGGCAGCCTTGGTGGCAGCGGAGGTGCGCCGGGAGGCTGAAGCCGAGGCCGACGCTCTGGCAGCGGCAGAGGAGGAGGAGGCGGCCGCGGCGGAGGAGGAGGCGGCCGTTGCGACCGCGCAGGCGGCAGCAGCGGCAGGTGCAGCAGCGGCAGCAGCGGCGGCGGCAGAGGCAGCAGCGGCAGCGGCAGAGGAAGCAGCGACGACGGCTGAGGCAGCAGCGGTGGCAGCCGAGGCGGCGGTCGCTGCCGCCAAGGCGAGGCGCGCGTCAGCGGCCGCGGCGAGGGCCAAGGCGGAGGCGGCCTAGCCGCGCGAAAAAGGACGCAGTGCGCAGTGGCGACCGGGGGGGGGGGGGCTCCGGGAGGGGGGGGCGAGGGAGGGAGCGTACTGGAGGGGTTCTTTGGGCCGCAATTTGGGGTCTGCGCGGGTCGAATGACTCGATTCACGTTTGTGACTCAGAGCTCGGCCTCGGGGCGTGTGCAGCAGCAGTGTGTCTCGTCTGCACGACGTGCTGTTTCTGGAGAGAGAGAAAGGGGCTGAGCTGGACCAAACAAAGTGCTGGGCTGTGGGCTCCTGCTGTGTGTGTGTGTGGTGGCGGCGTGTGTGGTGGATCCCTAGGCCTAGCCACGAATTCGAATACGCATGTTTTCCGGAAATTCCGCCCCCCCACACTGTGTGGTGGCGGCGTGCCGTCCTCCCATCCCTCTGTTGGGTCGTCTTTTGCTTTCTTTCTTTCTTTACACGGTGGTTTGCCTGTGATCGTGCTAGCACGCGCCAGTCCGCACCTGTGTCGAGCCTGTCTGCTGTGAGAGAGAGTTGATTTTGTTTTAAATTCTTTACACTGTGGGCACGGGACTATGTGTCTTGTGAGCTTGTTTGTGTCTGTGACTGTGTGTCGCTCGAGCCACGAGCGTGTCGTCATTCCTGCGAATCAAAGTGCAAATGGTGCACTAGGGCACCATAGGTGCAAGGTGAGAAAGAACAAACAACTAACAAGAAGAACACCGTAGGTAATAAGGTAAGGTAAGGTAACTTCTCCACACACACGAAGGTGGTGGAGTGCGCGTGGGTGAGCGGTCATAGAGCAGCGAGACACTATCACTTTCGCCGCGCACGGGCCACCGCCTCCGCGACGTACCGCCGCTTCGCGGCGTTCCACCCGAGGCGGGCGCTGTGGTTCGCCCGCAGCGTCTCCTCCGTCGGCGCCAGCCGCGCGCCCAGCCGCAGCTCCCTCCTCGCCTCGTCCGAGAGGAGGGGGTGGTGATGCAAGTAGTCAATCCGCGACAAGTGCAGGAGCTGCGCCTCTACGGTCTCTGGCACGTAAGTCAGCAGGTGCGTCGGCGCCTTTCCGTCGCCCTCCCTCAGCAGCGCCTATGGAGAGCACCGTCGGGGCGGAGCAAGATGAGAGTGCCATGCGCAACCACACGGCGCGAGAGACGCCGGCGTGACTGCCACGTGCCCAAACATGTCACGGGGCGCCAGCGTGTCCGCTTCCACCCGCGCGGACCGCCTCGTGTCCGCCCCGGCGCCGCGTCGAGGGGAGAGGTCGAGGTCGCGGTAGGAGCGGCATCGCCCGGAGTGGACGATAAAGAGGCCCGACTGCGCGTCGCCCTGCTTAACGATCGGTTGGTTGCGGGCGTAGGTGCGCGGCTGCAGGAGGTGGGCCAACGTGAGGCACTGCTCCCACGAGAGCGAGTGCGCGAGGCGAAGCGACGCGAGAAAGTGCGCGCGGGCGTGCAGCGAGGACAGCGGCTGGAGGAGAAGGCCCGAGGATCGCTGAGCGCGCTCCTGGGCGGCCATGGCGCGCAAGACGTCCGCCTGAGCCAGAAAAGGGCGGGGTGGTGGGGGTGCGGCTCGGTGCGCGGCTGCCGCCGCACACGTGCGTCCTCGCCTCGTCAATGCGCAAGAGTAGCGAGCGCTCGAGTGCGCGCGCGGCGTAGTGTGATGGCGGCAGCGCGTCGGGTGGCCGCATGAGCGGCAGGGACCCAAAGACCATGCCCGGCCGCACCGTCTCCAGGGTTCTGTCCCCTCCGGTGGACGAGGGCGACGATTCCGCCGGCTCCGCCCGGGACTGCTGCCGAGCAACCATGCCTTGCAGCACGTACCAGATGGAGCCCAGCCGCTCCCCCTCACGGATGAGCAGGTCGTCCATATCGGCCACTGTAAACACGGCCGCCTGCACGATCACCGCGATCCCCTCCTTCGAGAACGCCTTGAGCGGCCCCACCGACTCGCGCAGCACCTCCGAGAGCAGAGCTACGTCCTTGCGGCGCGGCGAGGGGTGTGAGCGCGCGCCCAGAGAGCCGGACGGGGCGGGAGGGGAGTCGATCTTCCGAGAGCGTGACGGGGCGGCGTGCCTTTGCGGATCGCTCACCCGGCGCGGCGGAGGCGGCTCGCATCAAGTTGATCATGTCGATTGTCGTCTTCTTGAAGCTCTCGAGGCTCCGCGTGGCACGCAGCTGCTCGCGCTTGGACGCGGCGTGAAGCCGGCCGGCAAAGCGAGCCGACAGGATCGCGGAGCGGAGGGCCAGCCCGACTTGCGGGGCGGGGCGGTGAGTCAACTCTGCAGGCTCAGGCTCGCTCTCCGTCTCCGGTGGAGGCTGCTCGTGCTGCGCCACGCGCAAGTGGAGCCGCACCGCGTGCGGAGTGAGCCTCTGGCGGCGGGGAGAGCAAGCCTCGGCGAGCTCAGCCGCAACCCCGCCGGTGCCCGCTTCCGCGGCCGCCGCCGGAGCGACGGCGGCTGTGGATGCGCCGGCTGCCGGTGTCGGCGCCTCTGTGGCGGCGACTTTCTGCTGCTGCGGACACGCCCGGCCGTTGCGCGAGTGCAAGAGCACGTCCTAAGCAGTCAGGCGAGGCGGGTGGGATATGGGGCTCGAGGAGGGCGAGGCGTGTGCTGCTCGGTGTGCCTGCCACATTTGGACCGCGTGCCCGGGCGGCGCGGCGAGGATCGCCGCTCGCTCCTCCTCCTCCGCCACCGCCGTCATCACAAAGGCGGCGGCACTAAAATCGCGCATCGCATTCGACCAAGACCTAGCACCGCGCTCGGAGGCTTCAGGAGCCAACACCGCGCTCTCGGTAAGGCTTCGGGGGAGAGGGGTACGCGGGGCCAAGGTTGCTGGAGGAGGGGGGGGGGGGGGGGCACCGCTGACGCACGTGCAGCCTTGCACGCTGCTCGAGCTTGCTGTGGTCACGCGGCGACCTTACGATTTCGCCGTCCAGCTCCTCGAGGGTCAGCCCGGGCTCTGCGTTGGCCCCGCCGTTTGCCTGCGGTCAGGTTCGAGAGGGTGTGATGTGTGTTTGGGTGAAGCCGAGCCGCTGGACCCCGCTGGAGGCACCTCGCTGTTCGTCGGCCCGCTCTGCTCGATCCACCTCGTCCCCCTCTCTGCTTTCCGCGCCTCTTCTCGCAGCCTGCACGCCCGATTCGTGCCAGCAATGGCAGAGTGAGGCCTCGCCTGGCGCGGCGACGGCGGGCGGCTCTCGCGCACCACAGCACGCGCACTGAATGGGCGCTGCGATGGACCGCCGCGAGCGGCCACGGCCCTCGGACTCCGGGGCCAGGATGCGAGCTCCGCTCGCGCGGTTGCCGGCCGTGCTGTTGACGGACGCGGGCTCAGCGAGCGCGGCGATGGATGCCCCGGTCCGTGCTGCGGCGGCGGGCGCGGCGACAGCGCCTGAGAGACAAGTATGGCCGACAGGGCCCGTCCCCCCTGGGAAGCCGTTACGTCCCACGGAATTTCTTTTCCTGCGCCGGCCGGGAACGCCATGTGAAGTCAGAAAAGAAAGATAGAGAGAAACCTCGAGAGCCCAAACGATGGATGGGAGAAGGAGGAACGATCACGTGGCGTCCTCCTATCCCTCCCCTGGGCGGTCTGTTTTCTTTCAGACAGAAGGAGGAAGGAAGACGACAGTGCCCCACCTGCACGAGCAGGATCTCGGAAGGACGATGAAGGGCACAGGGGAAGGGAGCGCATCGCGACACGCAGTTCGGATTTCTTTTCTCCGGCTCCCGTTAGTCCCGTCCCTACAGGTCCCGGCTTTGGTTTCACAACACGTTTGGTCCTCGCTATGGTATGCGACAGGAGGGCTAAAATCCGGAATATAGACTGCCAAGAGGGTGCTCTAGGCCGCGAAGACACCACACACGGTCTCCCTACTCATGCGCGGCTAGCAGGAGGGTGCCAAAAATGAGGCGCGTTGTGAATGAGGCCCCGCCGACGGGTAGCACAGGTCATGAGTGAGGCCACGCCAGCTGCCTCGGGTGCTCCGTGTGGTCGGCCTGGACCTTGCCGCAAGCCTCGAGCAGCGGAGAAGCACTGTCCTTGAAGTCCAGACATGCTTCGCCGCCGTGGCGCAGCGCCGCAGTGCGAGCGAGCACTGCAGTGCAGTGATCGCTTGGACTGCGGCACCCATCGACTCCCTGCGCTCCGGGCACACATTGGCAAATGTGCCGGCGGCCTTGTGGACGGCTCGGGCACGATCTGCACGACGGCGCGGCGTCGCGAGGCGGCCGTGTTGTGAAAACGAAGCTGTTGCGAAACCGAAGCCAGGACCTGTAGTGTCGTGGGAGAGAGTTTCCTCTGCCTCCGTTAATTTCTTTAATATTTATCACGTCACAATTCTTTTCTCCACGCGTGTTGGCCCTCGTTGGGCTTGCCCTGTCGCAGGCAGCCACTGCTCTTTAGAGATCCGCTGCTCGCTTCAGAGATCGCGATGGAATGGATGCAGAGTTTGGCTGAATACTCGCTCGGGCGCATGGTGGGTGCGCCCAGCCCGCTGCGCAAAACAAACAGCGGGCCGCAGCGGGCGACAGCTCTGGTGCTCCTGGCCAAGTACCCCGGCGCTGGCAAGAGCAAGACGCGGCTCGCGGCGCAGCTGCGGCCCTTTTGCGCCTCCGACGACGCCGTGCAGGCAATTATCGCAAACTTTGTGCGTGCGGCGACGCTCGACCTGCTCCAGCGCTTTGCGGCGGCGACGGCATCGCAGGGCGGCGGCTTCGAGTGCTTCTTGACCTACGCGCCGCCCACCGAGGAGGCTCGGTCGTGGTTCGCGTCGCTGCTGCAGGAGGGGCGCGTGGAGGACCGTTGGAGGCTGCAGCCGGTCCTCTCCTCGTCCTCCGCCGCCAGCTCCAGCCTCGGAGACATCCTGTGCGACGCGGGCCAGCGAGCTCGGGCGGCGCGCGGCTGCGCGCGGGTCTCGTTTCTCGGCGTCGACTGCCCGGACCTTCCCCTCGAGGCGCTGCTCGCCGCCGCGAGCGCCAGCTCCGCGCCGGGCGTCGCCGCCGTCTGCCCGGCGAGCGACGGCGGGTAC